CAAGGGGGAGAGCCGGTCCCGCCAGGGGGTCACCCGTCCCCTCTGCTCTCCCTTTCAGGCGCTGGGCTGGGGACCGTGTCCCTCTGGGGCAGCCTCCTGCTCGCTGCCGGCCTTGCCCTCGACCCAGCACCGCAGAGCTGCAACTGCACAGAGCCCATGGACTTCCAGGCTTTCCGGGAGGCTCCGCTCCACGAGAGCTGCTGCCTCAACTTTACCGGCTCCAACATCACCCACCTGGACTGGGCCACACTGGTAGGGGTGCAGGGGCTGCGGGAGCTCTACCTCTCACACTGCAGCATCACAGATATCAGCAACGCGCAGGGAGTCCTCCCTGCCTTGGAGATCTTGCACTTAAGTCATAACCTGCTGGAAAGTCTCCCTGGAAACTTTCTGGAAGATGCCCCTAATTTGAGGGTCCTTTATCTGGACAGCAACCAGCTCCAGGAGCTGCCCATGTCCTTCCTGAAAGCATCGACCCAGGTCCAGGAGGTCTACCTGGGCTTCAATGCCCTGACCTTCCTTCCTGCCAGCCTACTGAAGCTGCCTCTGCTCCATCTCCAGCTCTCCAACAACAGCTGGGACTGCAGCTGCGCTTTGCTCAGCAGCCTGGAGGGTTGGCCTAGCCTTGCTGCTGAGGTTATCTGCCATACACCAGAGCGGTACCACGGCGTGGACCTCCAGAGCATCCCCCAGGATGAGCTGTGCCACTCGCACAGCCTCACTGCTCTCTTCATCTGCCTGCCCCCTCTTCTCATCTTCGCTAGCATCACCTGGTGCTTCTGCAGGTGGAAGAGAAAGACCAACTACAGCCTTCAGAGCAGGTCCCAGAGCCACCCAGCCATGGCAGAGAGGGGCAACATGCCGGTGCTTGTGGAGCCCTACCACTACATCCCCTACGAAGTGCCTGCTGCCCCCTCCAAGGCTGAGAAGAAGGTGTTGCTGGGGCACCAGGTCCTGCTCCAGCCCTCTGCAGACCCACTGGAGAGTGGCAGAGACCTCTATGAGGAGGTGGAGATCCAGGTGGGATCCCCTAGCAGTTCCCAGGTGCCAGCCCATGAAGGTCAGCGGGGCATGGGGCTGGGCAGGCAGCAGGACACCCCAGCACTGAGGGCAGAGGAGCTGGGCAGCAGTGAGCCAGAGATGGACAGCATTAGTGTAAGTGAAGTCCTGAAGGACTCTGCCAACCGGGAGAAGATCTACATGAGTCAGTCGACCAACTATTACAACCTGGTACCCGGCATTGAGCTGGAGGATTTGGACAACCTGGAGTATGAGAACATCGACCTGAACTGATGCCAGGACTTGGGCTGTGTCTGGGACACGCCAGAAGGGTGGCAGGGGCTGGGCAGTAGTGAAAGCCAGCAGAGCAGGAGAGGCGCAAGCTGTCCTGCTGTGGATTACAGTGGCTGTTTGCAAAGCTCTACCCCCCCAAATTCCTATCCCTTCCCCTGTGCTACCACATGCACTCCTCGCTTGCCATGTGCTGCAGCTGGACGGGGGCTGTGAGGGGACCCTGCTGCAGGCTGGCGGTGTTTGGGGACACTTGGGCTAGCAGTGCCCAAGGAAGGATGTGGAGAGGTGGGGACTTGTTTTGGGGACCAGGTGACAATACTGTGTGTGCCAGACCCACTGACCGGGGCTTCCATCTTCTCTTGCTGGAGCCAGATGGCATCTGGCATGGACCTGCTGCTCCTCAATCTGCAGAGAACAGGGTCTGGGGATATGAAACAGGACTGGCTCTGCCTACGAGGTCTGCTGGGGGTGTCATGTGTAGACTGGGTGCCTTAGGCTTGGCAGGGGGAGCCTGGGGTGGCCCTGCCTGCTGCCCACCTCACATCCCACTGTCCCATCACGTGGCATGGTGGCTCAAAACAGCTGGTGAACGTGTGCTGCTGCATGCATGAGTGTGTGTGCACATGTGTGGGCAGGGACTGTGCATGGGTGGGTGTGAGAGGGTGTGCGAGGTGCACACGCACACAGGGAAGCCCCAGAGGGGGCCCCTTGCAGCCTCCCCTGCTGATGTGCTGCCAAGCCCTGTAGGATCCAGCTCTCAACAAGAAATAAATACTTTAATTCCTGGCAGTGCAGCTCCATCCCCGTGTCTGCGTGGTTTAGGATGGTGGGGAGCCAACCGACAGGATGTGGGGGAGTGCAGGGATGGGGGGCTTCGCTCCTACCCCATCTCCCCTCCTATGCCCTGGGTGATGCCCTAGCATGGGTCTTGTCCAGCTTTGCCACCCTAGCAGAGCAGAGCTGAGTACTGGCTGAGGGTGAGTGGAGGCTCTCCCTTGCACTGTGATTTACAGCCCAGCCAGGGAAGGTGTCAGCCTGCTGTAAATGCTGTGGTTCCAGCTGGGGCAGCGACTTGCAGGGCTCCTGGGAATGGGGCAAAGGCTGGGGGTGCTGTAAATCACCCCCCTGCACAGGCACCTCCCTGACGATTCTCACCTATGGATGCTCCATCCCTTTTCGGGGGATGGGGAGATGCAAGACACTCTTGAGCCCTGTCCCCCCTGCCCAGGGGGACATTTTGCAGGCTGGAAGGCCCGGCAGACGCCCCGCTCCACACTGGAGCCGGCCTGGGCCTGGGCCAGGCGCTGCGCCTAGGCAGGAAGGGAGGGAGCCAGGCAGGGCAGGACATGGTGCTCCGGCCGGCAAGGGAAGCCACGTTTCCTGCAGAGTGTGGCGTGGCCTCTGGTAGCCTATAGTGGGACAAGCCATGGGCCTCAGCAGTGCTCAGCCCCAGTCCCAGCCCCAGCGTGGGTTGGGGACGAGGACAGGATGGTTTCATGCATGTTTCACTGTCACTCCCAGATGTTTCCCACTGTTTTATGTCCTGCTGGAATTTTTCCCTTCCTGCTCCCTTCCAGGTTCTGGGAAAGTGGCCCAGTGCCTCCATCACCCCCTGCCAGGTAGTGCAGACAGGGGACACCCAGGAGATCCCAGTGTGCCCCAGCTCATGCGATCCCCAAGTCCCCACTGGGGACACAGAGGGACCAGGAGTTGCCACAGTGTGGAGGCAGGACAGGCAGGGGTCAGCCAGCTGTCCCCAGGGGCTGCAGCCCAATCCAAGGCCGCAGGCCGTGCCTGTTGCTGGCAGCAAGGATGCAGGCAGCGATGGGTGCATTTTTCACCTGTGTTCCAGAAATACCCCTGCAGCCCTTCCTGGGTGCCGGCTCTGCCTGCGCACCATGGGGTCCCATTCCCAGGGCTACCAGGAGCCATGAAACCCTCCGTCCTTTCCCCTCCTTCTCATGGAGCCTAAATTCTGTGACCGTGGCTGTGAAGGGGAACAACCCAAACCACCTTGCTGAGTCCTGCACAGCCCTGGCTCCAGCACCCACAGCCCCCCCCAAAATCACCAGCCGTGGCTGGTGGCAGGGAGGTGTAACCGTCCTGAGTTCCCTGTTCCCTGCCTCTGACAGCCCTAATCCATCACGGGGAGGGCTCAGCCGTGCGGGCCCACACAGGGGTATTTAGGTGGAAGAGGCACCAGCAGGACAGGAGGGTGCAAGCAGGGAGTGGTGAGCGGCTGCAGCAGGCGTGGGAAGGGCAGGGCAGCTGCATGGGGGATCCTGCTGGTAGGCCATAGTGCTTGGTGTGGGAGCGAGCGTGCGTCCCCAGGTCCTGCAACCTGGACGGCAGTGGGAACCCCAGTTCTCCCCAGTTTAGCCAGCAGCCAGTGAGAGAAGGATTTTTCCACTGAGGCGTGGGGCTGAGCCACGATGACCATCTCCTACACGCTGAAAGTTGCCAACTCACGGTTTGGGGGTTTCTCCAAGCTGCTTTTCCGCTGGAAAGGCAGCATCTACAAGCTGCTGTACAAGGAATTCATCGTCTTCGTGGTGCTGTATGCCCTGCTCAGCATTGTCTACCGGTGAGTGGGGTTGGTGTGTTGCCACCAGTTGTGTCCCTCCCTGCTGACCCACTGGGATGTGCAGAGATGCCTCATTCATTGGTTATGGACTGGGGTCCCTGCAGGGAGTGGAGAAGCCCAGGGGACTCCCCCAGGGAGGGTGGGAGTGGGCAGGGAAGAGCAGAGGAGGGCAGGGAGAAGAGGAATCAGGCAACGGCTTTTTGTGGAGGTCCAAGGCAGCACGCCAGCCCCACTGCTTGCCCCTGACCCCGCTGCATGTCCCTGACCCCACCGTGTGTCCCTGACCCTGCTGCAGGCAGCTGCTGAATGAGGAGCAGAAGCGCCTTTATACCAAAGTGGCTCAATACTGCAACCGCTCCACGGACCTCATCCCCATGTCATTCGTATTAGGTATGGGTCCCTCCCCTGAACCCAGGAGTTGGGGTCCCCTGCTCCTCCCGGCGCCGGTGGCTTGAGGATGTCCCCACTGCCCATCCTGACCCGATGCCAACCCCCCTTTGAACACTATCAGATGGGGGATGGAGGGGCCCAGTGCCCCAGGGGTGGCACTCAGATCCTGAACCCATTAAGCACAGCTCCCTGGCCCTGGGGATGCCAGTAGATGGGTGTGATTTCCCCTGGCCCACCTTCTTCCCCATGCCCAGGAAAGGGGCACCTTATCTACAAAAGATGGCTATTCTGCCGCGTGCCACCTGCACGCAGGACAGGGAGGAGCCAGGGATGTCACCAACTCCATCCCTGGGGAGGGCAGCCCAATGGGAAGCACGATGTGCACTTTATATCCTGGCCACAGAGAAATCTGTCACCCCTGGAAATGTGGCAACTCTCCTGGCATGGGGCCATCCTCGCCTCGACCGACCTCCTGGCCACCCCCCACACACTGTGTCTTGGTGTAGGTTTTTACGTCACCCTGATTGTGAACCGGTGGTGGGCCCAGTACACCAGCATCCCCCTGCCTGACCAGCTCATGTGCGTCATCTCCAGCAACGTCCATGGCAAGGATGAGAGGGGCCGGATCCTGCGGCGCACCCTCATCCGCTATGCCAACCTGTCGGCAGTCCTCATCCTGCGCTCTGTCAGCACTAGGGTGCTCAAGCGCTTCCCCACCATGGACCATGTGGTGGAAGCAGGTGAGGAGCTAAGCCCTGGGGGGTGACAGCTTGCAGTGTGGGGTGAGACCTGGGGGCCACAGACATGTCCCCATCACCAGGAGGGTGTGCTGGGGGGTGGGGATTCTTACAAGCATCGCTCCCCCAAACTGCCCTGCACACCGGGTGGCATCCTTGCACAGAACTTCACCCCCAAAGAGCCCCATGTCCCCTCTGCCCAAAGCCCATGTCCTAGGGCTGTAGTTTCACCTGGAAAACCTGGCATTCCCACTGGGAACAGTCCTCAAAAGGGCTCTCCCCCACTGACATGGGGGCCGTGCTGCTAAGCCTCTGCCCTGCCACAGGCTTCATGACACAGGACGAGCACAAGAAGTTTGAGAGCCTCCACTCTGACTTCAACAAGTACTGGATCCCCTGCGTGTGGTTCACCAACCCCACATCCGCGATGATGTGGCCCTCCGCCTGCTCATGGACGTGAGTTGGTGCTGGGTGCCCAGGGGGGACCAGGCGCTGCAGGGGGGTTCGCACAAAGTCGGGGTCACCCACTGTTGTCCTCTCTGCCCAGGAGCTGAACCTCTACCGGGCCAAGTGCAGCATGTTGTTCCATTATGACTGGATCAGCATCCCCCTGGTGTACACGCAGGTGGGTACTCACACACCCCATGGGCCACATGAGCCCAGATCCCAGCTCCTTCCACCCCACAATGGCGGAAGAGCCCTACAGCCTCCTCCCTGCACTCCAATGGGGAGCACTTTGTCGCCCTTCCTAAAGTCACTTTACTCCCTCATTGAATCTGGTGCCGGAGCTGGCAGGGCTGCTCGTTCACAGCCCCACAGGGATGTGCAGAAGCCCAGGCAGTGGGGCAGTAGGGTTTAGCCTTAAGCCCAGGAGAACATCCATTATCAGCTGAGCCTCTCGCATCCTCACTGCTCCTGTGCTGAGTGTCCCCCTCAGCTGCCACCCTTGCCGCCGGCTGACCCGTGCTCCCGGCAGGTGGTCACCATCGCCGTCTACTCCTTCTTCGCCTTCTGCCTCATTGGGCGGCAGTTCCTGGAACCGCTGGAGCCAGGGAAGGAGTGGGATCTGGACATGTACATCCCCCTTTCCACCCTCCTCCAATTTTTCTTCTACGCTGGTTGGCTGAAGGTGAGACATAGCCAGGCAGCTGGGCTTTGCTTTATAGGCTGGGGGTGGCCAGGTGGCCCTGAACAACCCCCTGGGCTGTAGGGGTGGCTGGCCTAGGGCATGGCACCAGCCACACCACTGCTAGCTGCCCCGGGGACACATCGTCTGGGCCCAGCCATCACACTGGGGCACCATGGAGCTCCACATGCATGTTTCATGTGCCCCATGGGTGGACTGAGGGATGAAGAACACATTGGGAAGGTCTTCCTGTCCCTGCTCCTCTATCTCACCTGGCCCCCTCCCTCCCCAGGTTGCAGAGCAGATCATCAACCCCTTTGGAGAAGATGATGATGACTTTGAGACCAACAAGCTGATAGACAGGAACCTGCAGGTGGGTCCTGCCCCAGGCTGACATTGTGCGGGGCTGCTGCAACTGGGGCACAGGGACATCCCTGCCCCCTGGCAGTGGGACCTGTGTCCTGCTGGCCCCCAGCCCTGCTCCTGGCCATGCATGTCCTTGTCCAAAATACATTCCCAAGCAAAGAAGCAGGGCTGCATCTTGTCCCTCCAACCTTGTCCTTCTGTGTGTTTGCTCCCCATGGCAGGGT